AATCCACATAATTAAGCGCACTGCCGAGGAGTCCCATTCTATGACGAAACAGCCGTCCAGTGTTTCCAGGTTTTTCATGGTGGTCCAGCTTCAAATGACTCATGATTTCAAGCTTAACTTTGAATTAATCGGTCTCCATAAATTCAAAAGACATAATCATTGTAATACATCAATTTACAGATAAAAACAAAAAAGGATTTATTCGACAATAAGTTCCCTTTTTGACCGATGGAGTCTTATCTGTGTCTGGTATAAACAGGTATCTACCTCAGACAACGGATGAATGGTTAAGCAAGATCACAGATCAATTGAAGTTAGACATTAACATAATTGGATGCCGGTTCTGTTGTCTAAATGTTGAGCATTCAGAAGCAAGAACGAAGGTCCTGGATTCAAGTTCCGTATGCAGGATCGTGAATGAGTAATCTCATACTAGAACGAAACATCCATTAAGTGCTTTCAGGTTTCCAATGGTGGTCTAACTCAGATCAACTCATGAGTTCAACTTAAAATCCGTTAAAAAACAAAAAAAATCTAATCGGTAATACAGTCACTACTTGACAAATTATTAAATTTCAATAGTTAAAATCATGAATCATTTGAAGCTAGACCACCATGAAAAAACTGGAATTACTGAAAGGCCCTTTCATCCTAGTATAGGACTCCTCAGCAGTCAGCATCCACGATCCCGCTCCCTGTTATATCCTAGTGAAGATTAAATTACAGGTAACTTCCGAGGACTATTGACGGACTAACATTCTATAGATATTCTTATTGGATAATTATTCAATAATTATAATATATATTTATATTCCCCTTATTATAAGCTTTATTTTGATCTAGAATTTATTATTATACGATTTACTGTCCCTAAATTATGCTCAGTTTACTAACTATTGCTTACCACGTTCACAGTCACTTTTAGGCATTATTCTTTACAAATTTTATTTCCTATTTCATGGTGCGTTGCGGTCTGTTTGTTTGATATATAAACACAGTATGTTTGAAATATATGATTCGCATATTGGAAGCTGGTATTTGGTCTTCTGGACTCAAGTGAACGGGATAGGTGGACATAGGACCAAATAAGGATGCTAGACTTCCCATACCGGTCGAACGTCATTGGTTTGGCACAGTGCGGTGATTGTATAAGTCGTATTTTGATTGGTGAATAGATCACATGATAAAAGCCAGACATAAAATCATAACACCCCCCCTCGTCGAGATTCGAACCCTAGACCTATCAGTCTCTCGCTCCAGCGCTTAACCATCAATTTCAAATCATCATTTTTACTTACTATTGAATTACTAATTAATTTATCCAATTCTGAAAAGAATTCCATTGATTGTTGATGAATTTTTTCATTGATTCCTGATTCCATTGATTCTATTTTACATATACAATATTCAAAATTGTGTTTATTATTGATGAAAATATTATTATCACTGATAAATTGATTTTTATAAATATTATTATTAGTTTTAGACAATTTATTAAATAATCTTCGAAATATTGATTTTAATATTGAATGAGATTTGAATGGTTTCTGTTTCATTTGTACCGTATTATAAGTAGTATCTTTATTTAATTTCATAACAATACAATGTGTATGATAGAATTTATCATTAAGATTTTTATGAATTTGTTTAATATAACATTGAATAAGATCAGAATTTATTAAAGATGTATGAATGATATTGAAATGATCAAATTTATCCGGTATTACTATATAACCAATCCATAATTGTTTAAATGTAATTGGTTGACATAGCATTAATGTAATTGAGTCAAATGAATTAGGTAATTCATAATTTCTATTAGCTATAGCAATTAAATAACCCCATCCAATATGATGCCATAAATAACTTAATTCAATTAAATTAATATTTGGTATTTGATTATTATTACCCATATAACGTACAGATAAATTGACTGGATATTCACAAACAATAACATATGTGGACTGTGACTGATACATTTGTTTTAAACTATGAATATTTGCTTGTAATGGAATTGTATTGAATGAAGAATAATTCGATTTAGATAGTGAATATGTTTGATTTTCTAGATGAATTTGTTGATTTGAAGGTATTAAATTTTGTAAAGAATGATATTTTTTATAAACATTTCCTGTATATAAAGTTTTCAATGTATTATTCGATGAAATTTGTCCATCAACTTGATCATTGATAGGGATATGGTTTGACTGACCTTGTGAATAACCTTCATCAGACATTATATTAGTATATGAAAGATTGTTTACATTGTTTTTAACTAAGTTAGATATATTAGGAATAGAATGATGATATGGATTGTGAAATACTGTTATATTTCTATGATTTTCTTTCATTATAAACTGTGTTTTATCAATTGTACATTGTAATTGTGACTGTTTATGATTGAGATTGTTGTTACTAATACATTTTGAACTGTTCATTAATTCATTCGGATTAATTGAACTCATAAATTTGTTGTATGTTTTATGTTTTTGTTTTATTGAAAAATCAGGTGATAAGTTTTTTAATAATTGAATCGGATGTTTCATTTCAATTTGATTATGTGAATTCATGTTTGATAAATGACATTTATGATTTTAATTTACAGTCATACATTTATATGATACATCATTAATTGAATTTACAAACTTAGGATCTATACATTGAGTGTATTTCTATGTGTTTAAGTGTGTACGTGTGTGTGTGTGTGCGTGCATGAGTACGTATGTACGTGTGGACGAGGGTAGGCGAGAAGTTTTACTTTTTGTTCAGAAATGATCATAATCACGTACCACTTTTTTTTTAAAAACTGATTTTTCTAGTCACTATGGTCTATTACTTTTATTGTACGACAGATACAATTAGATTATTTCATTGATTTTGATTGACATGTAATATATCATGTAAGTATATAAGGGTTTTTTTGCAAAAACAAATTAGATAAAGATAAAATACTGCAATCATAGTCGTCTTAATTCTATTGACATCACAACTATTATCTAATAACTATTGATTTTTGTGAGAGAAAAAGATTACTCAATAAGTTAGTTATTATTTTTTATGATTTGCGACCTATCACTTAGTTTCACATACCATTTATTAGCATATTGATATGACAGCAAGATAACCGGATTATATCACATTTATAATATTAATACTTGATGTATAATAAATACTAAACTTAAGCCATAATACAAAAATATTAAAGATGTTCTATAGATACATAGGTGATAGTAAATTAGTTTTCATTAGAAATTCGCATTACAATTAGAGAATAGTTATTATTAACTATGAAGTACTAAACAGCTATTCTGTTCCAGTTAATTTAAGTGTCCTAAAAATTATTTACTTAGAAACGATCTGGGATGAAGACGGTTTTCTGAGATTTTGATAAGATGAACTTTTCGATTGTTCAAAGCAATAAAGACAATGCTAATCATAGATGAACGCTATGATTTAATGTGGTTAAATGATGGCTACTCACCAGGCTATATTATTGACTTAAGCCTTTGAACGATTAGAAATCAAAGATAAGATCACTATCTGGATGAATTGTGTGTTTTTTTCACGTAACAAAATAACATGCTTATGTACAAAATCTTAACAGAAAATAACCATGATAAAATGTCATAAGCGATTGGACAAAATTAGCTTGTAAGTCATGCATTCTTCAATCGATTGAAGCCTGACTGTTAGGCCTAATCTCGGGACATCATATCACGATCAAAACTAGTAATACTGAAGTACTTAATGTTATAGCTCTTTAAAAGAGATCTCTTGATGTCCTTGTGAAATCTTTGATTTGTGAAGTCAATCAAGTTGGGAGCAAGATCGTAATTTGTTATTGGTATTTGTGGTGTGTGTGCTACTTATATTGACGTAAGTAATATATGACATTAGTCGTGAACAGAAGGTCTGGCAGCAGACGGACAAGAGGATCGAACAATAAAGAATGGAAACAGGATGCAATTTGTATGAAAATGCAAGAACAATGAAGTCTGAGTCATTTTGAGACAATTGATGGACATTTTGCAAATTAAGCATTTACTTTATGATTGTTAGATTTTATTACCAAGTCCAGTAATTTCGTGTTAAATACATTTCATTCTCCTCACCCGTGTTCTGTTCACTACATTGTATAAACCAGTAGTTTCAAGGTATCGCACTACCTGCACAGTACGAACAAGGTAGTTTTCAAGGAAGATAAGTCAGTGGTAGATTTAGCAATAATATAGTTGGTCATTTACTTCCTACACTGAAGTCAACCATTTAAGGATATCATATGAAGCATCTACCTGGTCGAACTAAATTTTTCTGAATGACGAGTAATAGTCGTCGGAGAAAAAATTCATATTCTTATACTAACCTTCCTAAATTTCTCCAAGTTTCCATTAAAATGAATACGATACCCTTTATCGGAGCCTTAAAAATTATATTGTTCATATAATAAATTTAATGACATGGTTAATATTCATTGTGAACCTGTGAAGAATTGTTGAATATTTACGAAAAGTTATCCAGGTCCGTTTTATTATAAAACTAATTAAACTAAAGATGTAAAAGATATAATTGCCTTGATGGATTTACGCTGAAGTGCTTTTACTGCTGTAAATATTACCATTTTTCCTTTTTATTGATGATTATCTCGTCTTAATGTTGTAAGTGAAAGTGTGACCAAGTAGCTAACATATCAGGTGTTTTTTTTTAATCTTAAGTGTTGCTTTCTCACATTACCTACATAACCTTTGTAACTATTCAAATACACTCTTTCATCTCGACAAATAGTTTTGCATCTTATTATAATGTTATTCAATGAAAGTCTCAAGTACAATCACTCAGACTAACAACTAGTCAACTATAGAACATGCCATATTTTTTACAATGACATTATAAGATGAAGCATGTTTTTATGTTGTTATTTCGAACAAAGTCATCTAGCTACCTCAGTGTTTGTTTCATAGTTTGTATAGTATTCATAATATAAGTAAAGAGTTAACATGCGGTTTTTTTAAAAAAAACAAATATATTTATGATATAATTGGAAAATAAAACAGTTAAGTATCAAATAGTGATTAAATTTCATAAGCTGAAATATCACAGTATTAATCTAAATCTATTTGTTTATTTACTAAATGTTACACTTCTCAAAATAATAAACCTTTCATTTAGCGCTAACACATAGTAACTAAGCAACAACAAAAAAAGAAAGAAAAATAAACAGTATACAATTAGATTGTCAAATTTTATATAAAATACTACAGATCTAATTTTAAATAAACAAAATGGATTCATTATATATTTTATAATGATCCAATTAAACTTTACATAGAAACATCTATATTAATTATCATAAATGAACCAATGTATCCATGCAAAAAATACAAAAAGTAACATATATATATATATATATATATATATGTAACAAAATTAAAACAAACAAAATAATGATAATTCAACATTCATGATTATAATCTTCAATATTCAAAACAAAAGTGTGAAACGTTCTAGGAAACAAAATATATATTAGAGAGGAGAAAAGAAAACATAATGAAAACCCCCCTTATTCTATTGAGTTGTACTTTAAGTTTCTGGATCATAGTTATTATAATAAATAAATAAGATTGACATATTACTACTTTTTATGAGCGTCTTTTGTTGTTGTTGTTGTTGTTGGGAAATTCACAACATTTTCAATCTTATCAACAATGGTATCTGTTTATCAAAGTGTTTAAGCCAATTGATTGGTTTAAACAAATTATAAAATATCTAAGTACATAAATAATGAATGACTATCAAAAACAAGACAATAAACAAATCGGTAGAGAGAAAGATTTTAGGCTAGAAAAAGTTTTGGTATAAAAAGCAATACCATACGTATTTGTTTACTATTCTAGAACACGATAGAAGCAAAAGCAAACAAAAATAGTAAAGAGAATTCTTGATGAAACTATTTTTAATCCCTGAGGTCATTAGAGATTGTTCCTGTCTGTTAGATTACCTTCTTTTCCGCATCAATCTTAATCATTTTTTATAATTGATCAGTCTATAATTTATAATTAGAAATGACCGAAATAAGATATTGACAGCTGTTGTAAGAAAAAAAAGATCAAAAGAAAATGAGTTGTTTAATTTAAAGTTCACAATGTAAACATACATATCATACACATGTATTCCTGATAGTAACATTTTGAATTCTATGAGTTTCTGTCAGAGTATAATAATTTTGAAAGGATAGAATATTACTGACTATATTTTGTGCTAGTGGCCAATTGTTGAATTTAGAACATGGATTTCGTAATCTAATCAAACTTTAAGTATAAATAATATCAAGACATCTATCAAGTAAGGGCCTGTATATAATCACAGAGTCTAAGCACATTAAGTCTACCACACCTAAGATAACTTTGAAATCATAAAAAAGGTTGTTTAATGAATTAGGTTTTGCTGCAGACATAACTATCTGATAAGCCAATCTGAATTGGACTAACGAGAAGTTCAGTCGATGGCAATCAGAAGTGTCCTGAAGGACAAATGCATTTTACTGTCTATGAAGTGGATTTTTCACAGATTGAAATCATGAGTCAGTTGAAGCTAGACCACCATTCAAAACCTGGAAGCACTGGACGGCCGTTTCGTCCTAGTATGGGACTCCTCGGCAGTGCGCATCCACGATCCCGCACCACGCGGGGCTCGAACCCAGGACCTACTGGCTTCGCGCGCGAGCACTTAACCATTAGACCACTAAGCCGGCATCCAACGGTGTTAATGTCTAACTTCAACCAATCCACGAAGTTGCGCCACCATATACCATGAAGTGGATTAATTCCCTAAGGCATAGAGTTGTAAATGTATAAATTTGTGCATTTTATTTAGTAGTCCAACATACATTTTCAACCACTCTTGTCTTCGCGCTGAACTAATCAGTCGAGGGGGGGTTAGCGGATAACACGTCGTGCATCAGTATCAGATTTCGGACACCGCCCATCATAATATTATCATAGTTTCGTCAGAAAAATGTTTAATATATCACTGTAAACGTGACGATAAAATCAATCTCGGGTGTTTTTATATATAGGAAACGATGGAACAATTAAGTAATAGTTAGCTCGTTTGTGCACTATCACTTAAAAACGATCCAATCCAAAGTACAAGTGAGAAGAAATATATGAAAACATTTCATATTTGGAATGAATATAGTTCATTCATAAGTTTCCTAGTAAAAAATTTAATTGAAATTTTAAGTCAATAAAGGAGCTATGGATGTATAAAATCAAAACGGTAAAACTTTAGGAAACAAAAATAATAATATATTGTTAATTTATTGATACAATACAATAAAACAAAAATTTGTTATATATGAAAGAAATACTTACCTTAACTAATATGCCAAGTTGATCTTAATGAGTTAGTATAAGGACGATTATACACATTAGGATGTTTTAAATGTGGTTCATGTAGATTATAATGATTCATTTTTGACGGAACTGTACCAGATGTTGTTGTCATTACTGGGATTGAGGACGATAATAATGAATTGGTCGTTGGTGCTACTGATATTGTTAGTGGTACAGTATAGTCTACTTGTCTTTGGAGGTTTATTGATGGTCGAAACGAATCAGATTTCAATTGATCTAATTTATCTCTGTAATACAAAAGACATTAGCAGAATATTAAGATCTAATGGATTGTTGTGACAGAAGTCAATCATATGAGGTATACTTTCAAGAACTATTTTGACTAGTATTTTTAGATGCGTGGGTATTATTTACCTCTACCTTTACAATAAGTTTAAGTCATTATTTTGTATGTATACTTTCCAAAGACGTTCTTTTCATCAGAACAGTTTGTTCGAACAAAACATTACACTAATTTAACATTCTTTAATACGTAATACATCACCACACCACCAGTTTATCCATTTCATATGGAACATTTAGTCAGTTTATACTACTAAAGGATTTCAGTCGTTAATATCAGTTTGTGAGTTTCTCATTAAATTATACCTACATATTGTCTTTCAACAAACATCTAAGATATGGTGATCTTTTTGGGGTACTGAAAATCAATATCATGTACTTTGAAAGAAATTGAATAAAAATGAGTTTTCTCTTCAATGAACTGATAGATCTCCGCTTAAATTTAGACAAAAATAAGGATTTCTAGTTATATATATAAGATATATCCAGGAGTTCTAGTGAGAAGCAGTGACTAGTGGAGTTCGACCAGGTCTGTTGTGAGATGATAACTCACTGAAGACATTGGTGGATGTGTCGCTCAATTTTGCGGATTAATTGAAGTTGGACATTACCACTGTTCGATGCCGGCTCAGTGGTCTAATGGTTAAACGCTCGCGCACGAAACTGGTAGGTCCTGAATTCGAATCCCGCGAGGCGGGGTCGTGGATTCACACTGCTAAGGAGTCCCACAATGGGACGAAGCGGCCGTCCAGTGCTTCTAGGTTTACCATGATGGTCTAGCTTCATTTGACTCATGATCTCACCTATTGAAATTACTAAAATCTCCACAAAACCCCTTCTGATAGTAGTTCATATATATTTATATTTCGAATAATCACATCTCTCTGAACGAACCTTATTCAAACATTCATATAAATATCTGACTTAAATTATAATGCCAGTTTTGAAATATCAATTTCTGACTTATTATGGTTTACAAAGTTCATTGAACTAGATACATGAGTCATTTGAACAAAAATGTATAACATTAATATTAACGTTATACAGGTAATGAATCTGATAAAGACAAAATTCATTTTGACCAATATAATGTTGATATATCAAATTATATTTTTATATTATTATAACAATAAATAAGAAGCACATTTTTTTCATATGTAATAACCATGATAAACAGTTTCAAAGGTGTATCAACTTATGATAAATAGTAATGTAGATTATGCGTTATGTATTGTCACATATAACTGTACTGTTATGTTATATAAACTGTATTACAAGGCTAATGCTAAATTCAAATTTCTAAGGGAAAAGGAAAAAAAAGAAAACCAAAGAACATTGCTCTGGGAATTGGAAGAAAACGTCGAAGGAATAAATAGCAACTGGAAATAATTGCCCAGAATAGAGTTCAATGGAGAATGCTGGTGGGCAACCTATGCTTCTCCACGAAAGGTGACAAGAGTAATTAAGTATGTTATAATTTTTCAGGGAATTTATTTATACTACTTGTTCTTTTTGAGATTTATGATTACTAAATTTACTAAAGTTATTAGTAGCTGAAATTCCTTTGATTTTTTACTATTTATTTGTTGATATAACGAAGATTCATATAGTGCATAATAATCAAAGTAATAGGAACAAAATCATTCACAATGGGTTATTCGAATTTAAAAGATATGTTCTCTTAAATCTAGAGTTAAGTGTCCTCTTGTACATTACATTCTTTAACCCCATTTAGTTTCTTATGAATTACATTTACGTTTAGCCTTCCATCGATGATATTATATTAACTCGATTGTTAATTATCTTGTTTTGTCTTTGTTCTTTCGCTAGTCTAAGGTGTTTCACCTTTTACCAATGCTCAATCGCGTCAGGTCTCATGTTGTCTCGGACTAAATGTGTAACTGGATGGGGAAATTAACAGATTTTTAATGTAGCATATGATATGTGCTTTTAATTGATAATGATATCTTTTAAGTGAAGGTCAATTACTCACTAATGTTGGTAAATTTAAGTTTATTAAACTTTTAGGAATGTCTTTACGGTGACGAAAATTTCTGAACTCTAGTAAGCGGTAAATAAAATCATAACGATCTACTATATTAAATTCACTTAGTTTTGTTTACTTGAATCTTCCCATTGATGTCTAGGACTGCGATTGATCAGTCTCTTGTTGGCATAGGTGAATCCTGTGTGGATTGCCTTGATACTGCCTTACGTCACAAGCCTTATACTCAAAGATGGATGGTGACTAGCAGTGGAATCCAGGACGTGCGTTCCTTCCTATTTGGGACTTGTTAGATGGAGGTACCTGCACTCCAGAGTTGATGTTTGGCGTTTAAAGTGAACGGTACTGGGTTGGAGTCCCAGGGTGAACATGAACTCTGAGATGCACTTATATTTAGCTGACAAGTCCCAAATAGGATGAAACGTGCATCCTAGATCCCATTGCTAGTCGCCATCCATCTCTGTTTATACATTTACTATATTCTTTGTTTAATGTTCGGTCATATGCAATCTTTAATTTACATCTCTATAAACGTCCATGGTGAACATAATAATGTCTCTTTATCAAGAGATTGCATAAAGAATGTATCTCTGAATAATATCGAAAATTTTCCCAAAGAAACTAAGATCACGTTTAAAAGATCCTGAAATATTGCTTTTTTCATTGCATTTTTGAAGATCCGTTACGTTTTGCAATTTGGTAGGATTTAGCGTAGCGGACTACAAATATCTTCACGTTTTGAACACTGTTCGACTTCTGTAAATTTTTTTCCGACATTATTATTTTCTTATCCTTAACTGTTGACAAGTAATTTTTGAAACTGTGAATACAAATTTTTTTTCCACAACACAATTCATATTTCAATAGTATATTAAGAAGACGAAGATTATCGGAACTATGTGATATGTTAGTGCAATACATTACGAACAAGCTGATCACACATATACTTGTTGAGGACAAACTAGGTCTGTTTTGAGATATCAACTCATTGAAGACAATGGTGTACGGTGGCTCAACTTCGTGGATTGGTTGAAGTTAGGCATTAACACCGTTGGATGCCGGCTCAGTGGTCTAGTTGGTTAAGCGCTAGTGCGCGAGACTGATAAGTCCTGGGTTCGAATCTCGAGGGGGGGCGGGATCAAGGATACGCATTGCTAAGGAGTCCCACACTAGGACGGAAAAGTCGTCCAGTGCTTCAAGGTTTTCGATGGTGGTCTAGCTTCAGTTGACTCATGATTTCAACTTGTGAAATATATATATATATATATATATATATATATATATATATATATATATATAAAAGATCAACTAGACTGGAAACGGTGTAAGAGGAGACGTGGATAATAATAAGAGTAATAATAATAATAATAATGTGGACAAAATTTGAAACCTATTCACTCTGGATAATAAGCCAATAATACCAATATTACATTATCAAAATTTATCAAAGGAATTAATTGCTTTACAATTCATATTCACCAGTTCAAATCAAAACATGAATAGATAAATTAGAATTATTCAACGTACCTTGCCTTTTGCAATCTAAGCATAACAGATTTATCATATAACTCGTTTGAATAAGACTCTCTATTAAATGACTGTAGTAATAAAAAATAATAACAAAAAATAAGATTTTTCAAAATGCATCAAGTTTTCATTAGAATAGTCATATTTTATCCAAATCATTGACAAATATATGAGACAGTGGCCTTATTTCAAATACATGGTTGGAACTGTGATTGATAATATGCATTTCGTCCTATTTAGAATTTATCAATTGAATTTGCCTCCTGATTAAAATTCATTTAGGAAAAAATTATCAACAACTCAAATGATTCAAACTTAGACACAAGTTATTCCAGCTAGATTGGGTGAGACTATAATTTATGAACTGTTGGGGTGATCCAGAAAATTGCTTGCAAAAAGACAAGCAAGCATCAGGAATCACTAAGATGCGTTTCGTCCAATCAGCGTTCACTTGAAGTTTTTGCCAAAAATATCAAGGAAGCGAAACGTCACATTTGGAGGTTCCGATTGGCTGGTTGCTACACTGCTACAATGTTTAGTAGCATTCCAGAATCTTCTAGCAACCCAAGGACATTTAAAATATTATAAAAACCCTGTATTTTCTGTATTAAAACGAACCTTGGAATAAGCTACTTCTCGCATATTTTGAGTCTTCTCTCTCGTGTTCAGGTCGCTGTATAGTTCTAGCTTGAGGGTTAACAGAATAGCTTAGGAGACGAATATAGCGTTCAATCCACAAGACTTATCATGAACAACCTTTGCGTGATGTCGAAATAACCCTGAGAATGTTCATCTAATAACAAGGATTAAATGAGGTTTATAAACCAGTGTGAGGAAATAGAAATGTGATTGACAGTTGATGGTTAAGATTAGGAATTAGATCTAGGGTTTTCATTACGAAGTGACATCAACCAGAATACCGAAACTATTTAACCAAATGGATGAATGAATTTCGCGCCAAAATCTGAGACCTGTTATCCCACATTTGATTGGTTTGTTCATAAATTATAGTTTCGCCATGGATTATTTTACTTAGCCAAAAAATACTGAAATGCATAAAAAAAGTAACAAAAGATGATCTAGTCAAATATACGGTTAGAGTGTTTTGTTGGCATATGTGGATCTGGTAGGATTTTCTCGATATTGCCTCAAGTCACAAGCATTCTAAGTTGAGATGGATGGTGGACGAAATGCGCGTCTTGGATACCACTGTTAGCCACCACCCGTCTAAAGGTAGAGTGGTTTTCAGTTTTTAGATGATAATTTTTTTGTCCAATATCTAATTGGTCACATAATTCACTACTGATTTTTAAATACTAATGAACCAATGTAAGTCAAATAGCTATTTTACTTCAGTTTGTCAATTGTTGCTAGTCCACTTCAAAAGGACATCTAAATAATTTATTAATTATATCTACATGAATAAATAGCATTTTCATGAATTTCCTGAAATTCTAACAAGAATCTATGACTAAAAGAGTCAAGCATTTCTATACTGTGACATTAATCTGTTGACGGTAGTGAATAAAAATTGTGACATTTCACAAATGCTTTAAAAGTGAGAACATAAGCACCTGGATTTTGAGACCTGAATTTGCCATATTCCATTCAATGTATGTTGGTCTGTAGGAACGCTGAGGAATATTGAACTAGGGCGAAACGACTATTTATTTCGCCTTGTTTTCCTATGGCTCCTCAAATAACATCATTTCCTGATAAAAAAATCACTATTATACACCTTTATTTTACTCGAATTTTTCCTTAGTTCATTGGTTTATTACAACAACAATTAAAAAATACTCATTTTACCTCATGAGAATCACTATTCGGTAATTGATTCATTGAATTGAAATTAACCGGTTCCATAAGACCCATTTGAAATTGTCTTAATAATGACTGTACAGAAGATGCAGCATCTCGTGCTTTTTCTTCAATACGACAAACACTGTTTGCTAAATCTGCATAATCTGAACGTAATTTTTCGAGTAATAAATTTGTTGAATTATTTCTACAATTAAATGGTTTCCGTTGATTTGAACAATAATTATATGGTGAATGCTGATTATAATTTCGGTCATAATGATCAGTGATATGATTGACATCATGATGACACTGCAAATGATGTTGATTATGATAATGTCTATATTTAGTTGGTGTATAAGTAGGCAAATTGAATGAATCATCTTTAATCACTGGTTTGTATAAATTTGTTATATAACTTTTTCTATTATGATCATCATCAATATCGTGATTATTTGTTAATGAAGTTGACGGTGTTTGTGCAAAGTTTCGTGTACTTTCACGAATTATTGAGGCTTGTTTTTGTTGCTATGTAAAATTGTATTCAGAGTAAAATAAACAATTCAAAATAAAATACATAAAGATCTTTTAGAAAGAGTTATTATAGCCTACTTAAATCAATTAGTATTGACGGGTTTAGGAAACTATAATCTGAACCAAATATGCTGGTATCCTGATTAGTTTACGTTTCTGTATACCGTAAGTTAACCTACGGTAGTTCATCATTAGTGTTATGATTCAGCATAGAGTTTACTTGAACAAGGAAACAAGTTATTATTGATAGACAAATTTGTATTCTACCATTACTATTCAATAATTTTAAATACTCTTCTTCTTTTCTAGTCTAAGTGTTTCAGGAACTCTTTAAAGATAACTCATTGGTCGAATTATAATTGCTTTAATCTAGGATTTAGTACTTTGGTCCTGGTTGGTAAAATTTTAAACTAATCGATATTGTCAACAATATATTTCTTAACATTATTTTCACTTACCTTATTTAACAAACCATTAACCATTTCATGAGCTTTATTCAAAGCATGTTCTCTATTTTCTTGTAACTTTTGTATATCATGTAATCTTTGACGTAATATTCTATTGGCTGATGTTAGAGCATCAACTCTTGGATCACCTGATATTGGATTACTTAAACCTTGTTCATATTTATCTCTAAAAATTAAACAAAACATAAAGATTTAAAGTAAGTAATTAGTGGAAATAGATTATTTTGTTATAATAGACTAAATATAATTTCATTAAGAAAATGTGACATGTATAGTCGAAAACAGTACAACACCCAAATAGCATCAAAATAGAACTCTCAAGGGTAGTAATCACTTGCTATCAATTAACAAACTTCTTACATATACTAATCAAAAGTACCTAGAAATAGGATTAAAAAAACAATAACATAAATATGGTGAACAATTATTTTTACATAACGGACTAATCTTAGTTGGGAAATCACTGAAGTCAAGGAGGCATTGGACAAGCATTATATCATAGTATGAGACACCTCAGTGATGAGGATTCACAATCCCGATAGCGATCCAGCCCATGACCTAAATCTATCCTTGTAAGTGCTTAACCTCAAGACTACACTTTTATTTTTAATTAAATCGTGATTTTGAGCAATTATCTTCCCATTCTTTTGAAGGATAACTATCTCACACTCGATCATATCACTGAAAGTTTTTCGAAGTTTATTTATCAGGATTTGTAGATCACGTTTCTGAATAAATGAAAATGTCACCACTTTCGTCTGTTAAACATTTTGCTGAATTCGCCAATATGTTATATCAGTAACGTTAAAATGTATTCAATAATAAATGATCTGATCCTGTTACCTTAATTATAATAATTAAACTTCATTTCTCCATATATAAAGAAAACTATTACATATATGTCACTGAAAGTGCTTTGTCATAAGTCAACTAGTCATATAATTAATTAATTTAAATATTGACTGTTAACTATCTATTTTAAAAACAACAACTATGGAAATTATTTTCATAAATATACCTTTCAATTGAACCTAGTTCTCTTTCAATTGAATGACATCGTCTCCTTAATCTATCCAATGATCCAGAATATAAGTCTGAATTTCGATAAAATGAAGAATTCGGATGAATGGTATGTAAATTATTTCGACGTGAACTAAATATAGATTTCAAGAGAAAAGTACATGAAATTTTATTCAACTTCGTCAAGTAATTGTATATCTTTGATAAAAATCAATAAAAAGGGAATATGTTTGTGAAATAAACAGTTATACAAAGAATTTGTTAATAATAATAATAATAATAATAATAATAATAATAATAATAATAAATACAACCATACATTCTCAAAACTATTTGCAAACCTTCAATATCAATGATTCATTTCATTGTTGAAAATCATAGCCAAAAAAATTACAATGAACAATCGTTAAGTACTTACTGAATACTCTTGTTGTGTAATCCATTTTCATTTGAATGGTTTTCAGTTTGCAGCTCTGCTGAGTGAAATGGTTTAGGTAGATTATCTGCATACTCACAATTAATATATGTAGGTGAATCTGCATTTTGTTTATTTATCTGTAATTAATATATATTTAATTACAACGGAACTATTAAGAAATTAGCAAAGAAAATTATTTACTTCTTGTTGCTATAGAAGAATAATGTAGGTACTTTGAGTTATATCTCGAACTTATATTCTTAATAAACAGTATATAACGCTATAATCCACCAAGTCGTAAATGAGAAGACAAAAGACAAATGAAAGGAATGTCATTCCAAACAGTGTCACTTATAATACAAAACTATCAAGCATTAATAGTTTTTAGTAAAAACGAAATCATTATAGTCCTCCGATCCACATACAAGGGGTTATTAGCATTTGTCCAATAAGGAAGCTGCTTGTCGAGATTCTAGAGATGATTCAATGAAATATCTTCGGCTTTTTCTGAGCTTCTTAGAACTTCGTCAACTTCACCCGTGTGCCGTCCTCACATTTTGACGCCATGAACAATAACATATCTCAAGTAAACAATTTTGTCTATAACTAATAACAACAGTTTATGAAGTAACATTATTGAAAGACCAGTAAAAAAGAAGAAATGATCAAAGACAGATCATAAGTTTAGCAAATGATCGCTTAATAAAAGAATGAATTAACTATTTTAAGCTATTTCCACGAAGAAGACATTATCCCTGGATATGCTCAAAAACTATGCAGGGATTTCAATTTGTCATGTAATTGGTCGGAATAAAACTTCAAAACTGAAGTCGAAATTACTGATGTTCAAAATTCAAAGTATTGAAGTAGTAAATTAGCTGTAAGAACATATACATGTATATACAAAAATTGAATATAATTACAATGGTGTAGATTCCATAGAACCAACTTGTGGTTCCGTGTGGATAAATATTTTCTTCACATAGATGACTTAATATTGCCGATGAATGGATAACGACAATTGAAAATGGTGGAAGTTGATAAGCTCCTGGACGTGTTATGTTTTTTTTATAAATGAAGTGCACTGAACTGAGATCTGAGTTTTTCTCGGAATTCTGAAGTTTACACGGAGAATCTCATCTTGCAAAACTATTTACAGATTTTTTTGGTGAAGTAAACGCTAATTGTGAAACGAAAATCAAGTTCCAATAACATAGCAAGTTTCAACATAATGTACTATCATCCATACAGCTAGTTTTAAGTAGAATAAAAGGCACATCCTAGACGTAATTTTCAAGTAATATTAGAAAATGCTATTTCATTGAGTTTATCAATATATGTTAATATACGATTATCCCGGTTAGTATATGTAAATGAAGTAATCCCATACGATAATGACAATAATTCAACAAATGATGTCAAGAAAGGTAATTTATTCTGTATAATCAAGTTATGATATGATTACATGATAAATCAACTTAAATTTTGTTTTCAGAGGAAAAGGATAACCAGATTGTCAAGACGGGCATTTATAATTTACAAATAGAAATAATGGGTACTGCTGGTTGTTACACATGTAAATAAAAATAACTTCAGCCAAATAACAACACGTGATATTGCGAAAGTTTGTGAAGGCTGACATGGAGTGTCATACGGAGTAACAATTACAAATATTAGAATTGAGGTGTTCTGTTCCATATAGAACACTCCCTTCATTTCAAAGAAAAGCATCACTGATGAAACCCATCCATCATGAAACTTCGGTCTTAGACCTTTTGATGACTAATTTCAACTATTTAATATTAATCAAACTAATAATTACGTTACAGCATGATCGATAGAGCCTAGTAAACATTAAGGAATGGCTAATATAACATTTTTCACTAAATGTAAGCTGTTCGACTAAAATTGTAACCCATTAGTTTATTTACTCTACAATATTGTGACTGTACTACATTTTATGAATTAATTTTCGACTCAAAAAAGATGTCAACTTTCAATAACAACAAAAAATTGTATAACGTACGGGAAAATATTCTGAATGAAGATTTGTACAATGTTGATTGTAATCTGGTTTATCATTGAAATCTAAAAAATAACTAATTGGTGAATGAATTGATCTATTGTAATCGGAATCTTTAATAGTATTTATTCTATTTTCAATTGGAGATTGACTTCTCTGTGTTCTTTGATTATTTGAACTATGCAATCTTCTTTCATAATGATCAAGATGAATATGATGATTAATGCTATCATTCTGATTATATTCATTTTTATCTAAACTTTTATTGCGTACTTTCAATGAACTACGAACTCGACTGTTTGATTTTGAAGATACTCTTCTAGGTTGTGACTAAACATAGAAAAGTTATCATAAATAAAACAGTAGGACAAATGATCACATTTGAATGTATTGCGTGAAATTCTTCCAATGTTATTAAATAGTAACTGTCATATATCTGATAAAGTTGAAAACGCCAGAACTTAGGAAAAAACGTCTAGAAATCAGTAAAATGTTTGTTTGGCTAATTTTCCATAATCTGTTATACAAAAAAGATGGAAGTTTTAAGATATGAATACTAATTCCGCTCCCCCCCCCCCAAAAAAACACAACTAAATCCGAATATCATCACTTTTAATTACTCAAGTCAATATAACGGACATATGCTAAATAAACAGGATATTTCATCTATTTGAATTTAATTGCATATTAACACCATTTTTTCATAAATGAATAAAAACAAGTTTTGAAAATTGAAAATACTGCAAAACAAAACAAAAAAAACAAGGAACATCTTAGCTAAAAAAAACATTCACTTTTTTCAGGAAGGGGTTTTGTGCACATAATAGTGAATTAATAGTTGAATTCATGAGTCATTTTAAGCTAGACCACCATGGGAAACCTGGAAGCACTGAACGATTATTTCATCTTACTGAAGGACTCATCAATAGTGCGCATCCACGATCCCGTTGCTCGAGATTCGAACCCAGGATCATTCAGTCTCGCACTCTAACGTTTAACCTGTAGTTCACTGAGTCGGCATCCAAAGGTGTTAGTGTTTAACTCCAACCAGTTCGAGAAATCGAACGACAAATCCACTATTGTCTTCAGTGAGTTACTATCTCCCAACGGACCTAGTTGAACTACACTGGTTACGGATTCTCACAAGAACTACACGAAAACCCTCTTGGAGACCGTCACTAGTGAGCATATGTTGATTATAATCAGAAAGAGTTTTGTTCACAAAACCCCTTTCTGTTGTTAGATAGTAACTCAGTAAAGACAATGGTGGATGGTGGCGCAATTTCGTGGATTGGTCTAAGTTAGACATTAATACTGTTGGATGCCAGCTCAGTAGTCTACTGGTTAAGCGTTCGCATGCGAGACTGATTGGTCCTGGGTTCGGATCTCGAGGGGGGGCGGAATCGTGAATGCGTACTGCTGAGGACTCCCATACTAGGAGGAAATGCCCGTTCAGTGCTTCCAGGTTTTCCATGGTGTTCTAGCTTCAACTGACTCATGAATTCAACTATTAAATTTATTTCTTTACAAATCATTCTTAGATCATACTTCTAAATGATGAAATATCATATTGAACATCTTTTTAGTAATACAAAGTAGAGATACATTTAATCAACATTTGTCGTGAATTTTCGATGATAATACTTCTAGTTATCCAATAATTAAGTAAATAAACTAAAGCAATAACAATGCGTTATTTTTTGTTATGAATAAAGAAATATGGTGATAGGTGATTGCGAAAAATTAAAGTAAATTACTAAGATTTTAAGGTTGTTCACCAGACTAATTATTGATACACTTAATACTTTATATAATTCAGTAGTATTTTTGAAACTGTTTAGATATTTGGGTGAATACATAATCAAACGTGAAATGAATTATTCAACGAATCAATAAAATGTATTTAATTCCTTTTGGAAACTTATTTTAAAACATCGTTAGAGCTCTTAATTGCCAATTAATTTTTTTTAAATTGTGCAACAGAACTGAAAGTATTATCACTAAGGTCATTATACAAGTTTAGTTGCTAGTTAATTACTCTAAAAAAACATTTTATTCAATGTTATCATACTTAATTATGATGAATGAACGTAATGATTTATAATTAAAAAACAATCGGGTAAGAGTGAAAATGTTTAGTGCAGAAAATGTAAAACATATACAAAAATAAATCATTACATGAATCAATAACTAGTCCTTGCTTTTCTACTTCAATATAACCGGGGATTTCATAATGTTGAAAGTAAATATTTGCTAATACTTATTGTACTACATTTTTAGATCGTAATTTCCAAAGATAACAGTTACTCAATAGTGATTTAGTAAAAACTTCTAGAACTGTTGATAGTTAAAAACAACAAGCAAGGGATCTCTTCTTCTTATTCTCCAAATTAGCTTGCACCATTTAATCTCATAAAAAAGCGGAATATAAAAGCTTTAAGTCATCTGATGAACATGTTATTATTTGATCATAGTATTAGAATACAGTTTTCTAATTTCAGTCAATGAAATCATAGGTATAAATGGCTTTGGGTAACTTTTATGCAATATCATAAAACATAAGTAGCTTAAAAATTTAGTCAGTTAAATTGCTATCTGATATATTATATGAAAATGCTCTCTACTATGTGTAGGGATATATATACATAAATATATATACTTCTGTGTGAAACTGAGTTTCCACACTATCCTTAGAGTATTCTACGTCAAATGAATGATATGTGAATCTAAAACAGATTTATAAATATTCAACAATACAAACAGAATCATTAGATGACTTATCTAAGAAAATGTTATATAAAATGTAATTGATCAAACGAAACATATGATCTTCATATACTTAAATGGTATTTTCTTATGAGATACATTACGTTATCAAACAACTTAAAATAAATACCATAAAAGAGTTTGATAATTCTGTAGGAGTTTTCTTCATAGCTATTCAGGTTGGAACATTTTTCAGGTTGGAATTCAAACAAGCACATTGATATTCATCATTTGAGTAAAAGATTAACATTCAATCAATATAATCATATATCTACCTTCAATTACCTTGTTTATATCAAATTTTCAGTATAAAGAAAATGCAAGTTAGAAAAAAGTGGAAAAGGCGCA